ATTCATATCCTCCCATTTGAAAATCTAACCAAAAGAGCTTGTGTCAATGATAAACACTTTGTAGTAAGTCTCTGCAGGTCCGATAACCCGAAGCTGATAGCTTCCAGCTATGAGGGTTAAGAATTTTTTGCATCCAACTGGCGATATTAGGAGTTGTAGGCACTTGGATCAAATTTTTCACGTCTGCCACCGCTTTATTGCCCTGGAACCTCGCTGAAGATGTAAAGAGGTGTAACAATGAAGGCGAATAGCTCAGGGTACCACAGGCACGACGAAGAATGGAGTCGTAGTGGCTGAAGAGGCTTGGGGTGTAGAAAGTGTCACCGAGACGTGTCAGTAATTACCAGTCGCTAATCTAGCGATTAATCCGGGGAGCAACTTCTTCCTGTTTCTAAACGGAGGCGATTGCAGGATCAAGCTGGTTAATTTAACACCAGGCACGAGAATTTGCAAAGAATTTTAATGTTTAATACTCACCAAGGACAAGGATTTGCATCTGTGAATTCAGGGATTCGTATAAATATTTTTACAAGTTGGCTAAGATGCAGTAGGATGCAAAGTGGCAAAAAGTCCGAGGAGTAAAATAGTCAGGAATAATTATTATCTTGTGGCCTGACCTGCCAGTGCATTGACGCTGATTGCAAGTTTTCTGGGGAACTGTCAAATAGTTGCAGGTCACTATGGCAACCAAGGTCAGGCTATTGTAAGGACAAGGTTATCAGTAGCATTTCTCCCAAAAAAGACCACAGTTTTTTCTTCAGTAGATCACTAGTTGTCACTTCTAGGAGAACAAAATTATTGTTAGCCATTTTTCTTTAAAATAAATAGTTCTCTAAAACACTGTGTTGAGATTTCAAAGGTGGCGTTTCCTTTTGACAACTAGGCCTTCGTAAAAAATTTGTTCGTGCCGCTTCCGTGTCTACTGACGTGAACAGAACTCGGGGTTACCCTGGCAACCACCTTAGCAACAGGTGAGTCTTAAAATTTGATTAGCCACTAGGAACGGCCTAATATAAATGCAAAATAACTAAATTTTTAGGGGGATTTTAAGCAGTTAAATGAGAAAAAGTTGTAAAACATCTAAAATCCCTATGATTTCCTTATTTTTTTTAAAAAAGAATAGCTAACATTAGAGATTTTGGCCCACTGATTGTAACCAACGGAAGAAGGGGAAGGAAATTAGATTTTACTTTGAATCAGGACCTCTAATTGTAAGCCTACGCACAAAAAAATTATACTAATGTGGCGATGTGTCACGCACTTGTAAGTGGCAGTAATTGTGGTGTCATCTCTCATAATCGCCGACACACCCGTCGTGCGTGGGCAAGTCCACTTATGACACCACAAAAGTGGTAGTGAACGAAATCCCTCGTGAACTAAGAACTTCGTGAACCCTCTTGACCTGTGGATCGTGCGAGCGTTTTGGAGTGGGCAAGTACGCTATTTACAGTGGTTTCGTTGATAGAACTCAGCCTCGGTAGTTGTTCCTGTCTGCCTGATCTGGGACTCCCGATCAAAGCACAAACTGTCGTTGGACTCGTGACTTCTGAACTGTGTAGACTACACCTTGGTGAAGCATGATGCCAGAACAACACAACTGCTCATGCATAAAAGTGCTTGCGGCCAGGATAAGTCAACTCATAGTGGATGCCAAACACCAGCGAGGTAGACACGGTAGGGTGGTTCTGAGGCACTGGCAAGCCCTGGAATACCAAAGCTGGGCTGTGGGTATTAGTTAACGAGTGAGACAAATGTGGTATTGCATGACCTGTATACGGAGTTTAGTCACTCTCGGTTTGACTTTAACCCCATCCATAGCCGGAAATGAATGACAGAAATTAGTAATTCGTTCTGCTAAATAGCGGTCCATCCATTGCATGGCTATCAGATCAATAGCCATTTGATCTACTCTGTTTCCTCCAGTAGTTGTGTTGGAGCTGACGGTTCTAGAATTGTACCAACTTCTCCAACTTCGAAATCCACTTCCGCATGTTGTGAAGCGCACTCGCGATGCCGTCTATTGGAGGCAGAAGTGGAGACATTGCGGAAAGAGTTGGGGGAACGCGAGCGACGTCTAACAGACGCTCAACTGCAGGCTCTAGCATCAGCGCATCAAGTCGATCAGCTTCGAGACCAGTTGAACCTCCTCTTCCAACAGTTGAGCCTCCTGCGTTCCGATAACGAGCGTCTCCATGCCTCAGCAGCTGCCGCTGCCAACACCCCACACTTCAGTGCAGAGTGATAAATAGGTCAACAAAATCCTTCGTCTTGTTTTTTTGATTAAACGATTGATTTATTTGCCGATTTTAACTTAAAAAATTTATGCTTCCGCATTTAACCAGAGCAAATGTACTTTATAGGCTAAAACGCATATTCTACTTATCTTGTAGGTTCCTGATTTAAGTAGCATGTACATGTCTGGGATGCTTAACTAGAGCATTTTAGCTATAGAAGAAAGAATACCTCAAGTGTTTTGAACCACAGGCGTGCCTTAATTCTTGCTGCAACTCAGTCGTGTTTTTAGTTACCGAAATGTAGAATTTTGCGAGCCAAAAGTTCGTGCTAAATTTCAGTAGAGCTTGTTTAAATAATTAATTGTGACCTGCATGCTTAAACATCTTCTTCCAATCTTGAACTCTTACCCATTAAACGTGGGTTGAACGAAACTGATGGATGTGGTTCGAGCTATTCGGATTTACGAACTGGGTCTAACCCACTTCCAAAGCCGCAAACGGTTCCTGTCGAGTTTTTGGAAGGTGTTGTGACAAAGAGCACCGCTTGGAAACGGTTCGAAAGATCTGAATTTGGTTGCAAGAGGGACAATAAGCATGTACCAAAATCAGAAAAATCGTCTGATCTTGGTGGTAATGGGGAAATATGCGATGCCAATGAAAGGTGGGCGGAGTATACTTAACAGAATACAAACTTGAAGAGTAGACAGGACAACACAACTGGGTGGAATAAAGTCAAACTTATCTACATTCTCCTTGCTCCTACCACGTTTCCTTGAGTCATTATTTTTAGGCGGTGGACAGTCGCCTAATCGCATGAAAAAATAAACGGTTCGAAAATAAGTGATACAGAGGGAAAAAATCGGCTTGGAGCAGGTTTCTGCTTAACTTCCAAAAACAAATCTTTGTGTGGAGGTAGAACTCGCCGGCTTGTATGTCCTTGGGAAATAGTTAGACCGCAGATTGAAACGGTGGTTTGCCTAAATAGTAAGATGGCCCTTAAAAACATTCACCGCAAATATTTTACCCAGTTACTGTGACAATCTAATGGGTTGTTACATGGATCATTTAAAATTACGAAACATTGTCTAAGGCGACCTTTTTTGAAAGAGGTTTCATTTCTAGTCGGTCGTTGGTTTTATACAAGAGATGATTTCATAATTCCAATTGCAGTTAAAAACTCAAGTACACATTATCTTTGCCAGGAAATATATAATATGGATAAGATATTTCACGTTTAAGGGCGGCTAAGCAAAATTATTGTCAAAGCTAAGGAAATGCAAATTCCTGCCGGTTGCTTTTTTCAATTCGAAAAGACCGCCACTAAAATAAATTCGCATAGGTCAATTACTACTCATAAGTTGTCAGCAGGTGCTTTCAACGTACTAAAAAGGAAATTTTCGGGCAAGCGGGCAACGCGTTTATCAACCCCACTGTGGCGACCGCCAGTCCTTGTCTAGGTTTCATTAATGGTGAAGACTTTGAATTAACTAGGAATTAGCACGAAGGTTGAAAACACTTCCTAACCATTTTTGAAATAAAACCCACATCCGCATTGATTTCGAGAGTTTTAGAACATGATAGGCCAACGCTTGCTGTAATTTATCATATCCAGTCGTCGAGCAAGGTACGGCTAGTGGTAAGGCGTGTACCTCTGCAACTGCTGATTGTGTAGTATTTTTAAAGGCCTTCACCTCAGTGATCATCAACTCATTTAAAGTTTATCTGTTCCTACTTAGCGGCCAATCGGGGCAAATGAATGACAGAGCGAGTATCAAGACAAACAATAATAATGTATGGAAAGTGGGTGATGAGAAGATATTTCACTGGGACTTGTAATCGGAAGCTTTTCTGAGATAGTATACACTTCCATCAACAATGTGTTAAAAACCAATTCTTTCCTAGCGTCCTGAAACATAACGTACACAAAAATACTTTCACTGATTATCCTTCAGCGGTCATCATTTGAAATTCCAGTGTGTGGCGGGAAACTCTACTTAATTGTAATCACGAAACAGGTCTTAAACGCGGAGGAAGGGATTCATACTGCACCAACTAGTAACGCTTATTTTTTGGTGCGGAATAAATACCACGGGACTGAAATATATGTGAGGATTTCAACAAAAAATTGTTTTAATAAGCACGTATCGACTGTTGCCAAGTGCTGGAGATACCCGTAACCGCCGGGGTAGCATCCCTTTCCTGCGATTCCTTCTCGCTACTGCTCTGGAAATGGCTAATAATCGAGGTTGTTATAATGACCTCCCTCTAATTAACCAACATAGTGTGACATTTTAATGCGCTAACATGCACAGTGGAGGGAAGGCCAGTCAAGGTACTATTAATGCCCGAAAATGGGAGCACCCGTGTTTTCGGCAGTCAGCGGGCGGTCACGCAGACACCGTCCCTGCGGCCTGCCCGGGTTTGAGGTCCTTACTTCCCAGTTCACTGGGTTGGGTTCTCTGCATAAATTCCAAATCACGGTCTTAACCTCGGTTTTGGTAAACTATTGGCAAAATTCCCTGCCGTACTTTTTTTAAAGCCACCAGTTAATCAGTTTTTGCCCACAAAGCTCAAGTCATTCGAGACTTCTGGCCTGTACTGAACCGCGATCGCCCAGTTGACAGCCGTCACTGAGCCATCAGTCGCATTATTTCATTTGAGACGATTAACGAGGTTTGGAAAACTAAACACCGACTCTGGAATTTCGGCTCGCTATTTCCAAGACAATCAAAAACGAATCACATGAAAACTGCCTATGTATACACCGATTTTATGCCAGAGGTCACCAGCCCCTGAAATAAGCAAATAGCCACGAAAAGATCCTGCTTACTTAAGCTCAAAAAAACCCTTAAAAAGAGCTTACTTGCAACTTTTAGAATCTAAAGTCATCTACTTTCCAGATTTAGCAAGAAAGTTCACCCGCCACGTGGTTGTGACCCACAGCCACTTTATTTAAAAAACCAGAAAGTAGTTCTGATTATTTTGGATTGAAACTCCAACATGATAAAGCTTGGCTTCAACACTTCACATTAAAATTAACATCATGAAACCTTCACATGAATGAAGCAATTCAAACTGCACCCACAACCGGCAGTACTCTACTTATTAATTCAAAGTAGTAACAATGAATTATTATTGAATTGTGAATGAGAAAACAAGGCTGATATAGGGGCGTCAAATGTCAATTTTTGGAAGTTAGACAAAATTCTCAATTTTTATGAATTTGAAGAACATGATCCTTCCTACTTTCCCAGCCCCCATCCGCGATCAACAATCAAAGCGTACCTTCGCCTCGCTTCTGGATTCACGAAGAAAGTAAGGGGGGAGGAGTCACAATCTAACCCTTATTTATTCAAAATTTGCTATGAAAAACCATTCCCGACCCGATTTCATTACCACCTTTAGCCCTCAAATCCACTTTCGCAGGACTTCCGGCCATGTAAGGTGCGCTGCGTATCTGCGACCAGCGTTTGCTCAACCACTGCTTCAGTGGCCAAGCCAGCAAGGACGCCAAGATTGTGCCTTAATCCCTGTCAACGTTTAAACCGATTTTAATACCACCTACTGAAGCCAAGAAAGTTTTGCACTGACCCATAAATCCACGAATCCCGCTTAGCTGCGCCCACATAGCAAGAATTCATGGTCGCTAATCAGGGATTTCCGGTCATAAGTGAGCAAAACACAATCGTTTCACCAAATTCAACACCACCTTTCAAATTCAAGTCAATTAGAGGCAGTGGCCACGGAAATATGCCACCTTTTTGGACACAAAACCTCAAAACCGTGAGGTTTTCTTTTTCAATGGAACAGTTTTTGTTGAATAAATTATCTGTCAATTGGTTGATTTAGTATAAAAAAGCAAATTTAAGAAAATCGAAAATGATGGAAGGGTAACAATCAGGAATTGAGGAAAGTCAACTAAATCAGCAATATCATCGTATGGAATGAGTGGGGCGTCAATTTTCTGACACATAGATGGCTGGAAAGATGCCAAATCGATCCCCAATGCGGCCAGACCACCAGGACTCGTCAAACTTGTCAATATGACAAATCACTTCACCCACCTTGAAGGATAACTCGTCGGATTGGGCTAAATCGCAGAAAAAGAAGTGGAGTTGCGTTAGTCCGTTGTGCCAGTGCTCAGTTACTCAAGTAGACTCAACTCACAGGCCACAAAGTCGTACAAAGCCGTTGCCGTGGTATTGCTAGTTGAATGGGCACTGGCACCAGTAGCAGCAGCCTCGGATTTGATTTCTCTAACGTGGTTGGCTGGAAAGATACCCCATCGAGTGCCGATGCATCCAGACCACCAAGACTCGTCAAACTTGTCGATATTGACAATAGTATCACCAGCACGAAAACTCAATTCGTCACTTTGAGCTTTGAGAGAAGCAATGAGAAGTCAGATCCTGGTTTAGTAAAAAAAGGTCCTTATAAAAAACTTACAAGCATTGAAATCGAAAGCAGCCACTGCCGTGATGTTAGAAGTCTTTTTATACTCTGTTGGCTCCGTCGGTTGTGAAGGCTGGTAAGATGGCTCCATTTCCTCGTGTTCTTCCAATTTTTTCTCTGATTGTTCTTCGACCTAGAACCAACCAATCAAATCTGAACTAAAGCCACTAACCAATCAGATTGAGGTAAGAATAAAGGAGTTCAAAATGGCAGCCGAACTCTCCCCCAATGCTGACACTCAAGCCATTATGAGGCAGTTCAGACAACGGTAATCATGACTAAAGGCGTTCGTGCACGTGCGAGAATTAAACAGGCTTTCCTGTTAACCAGGGCATCAAACTCAAACTCCGCATTTCCACCCATATCTACTGAAAACTGGAAGTCCACTATGGTGGCAAAACATTCGGCCGGTCGGCAGGAAAACTATTAAAACGGTACAACAGTTTCTGGGAGGGGCCTCACGTCGCCATATCAATGACGATCCCAACCGCAATGGGTGCGCACTACAACTCGAAAGAGGCATTGTCACATGCCACTCACGGCAGCAATCTCGTTCCTTGAAGAGGTACCTCGGGGACTGGTATTTCAGTACCGATTGGGGAGTGCAACGGAATGCTCTGAGGTGACTCTTTAGTAGTGGCAGATCTTCCCAGACATTACATACCCGCGGTGATGCGTATGCAAATGTAGCAGTAGACTGTGGGAAGAAATATACCCAGCTCCAACTGCTTGAAAGTTATGCATAAACGTTGACGCCTTTCGTACCACCAAAAAGCAATTAGTCGGTGAAGAAGCATTAATATGAGGAGCGAAACTTAAAAAGCATCAACCCGAGGTTAATGAAAGGAGTTTTATGGAGTTTTTATCAAACAAAGCAATGGTGTTCCTACTCCATCGGAGGACTGCGATTCGTCCCATGTTGGCACAGGTTGGGACTAAAAGGCATTGGAGACCAACAAGGAAGTGCTTGTCACCAATTGCGCACAGGGGCTATCTGATGTGTCAACGACCAAGCAACAAGAGGGGCGAACTAACCGGTCTACTTAAAGTGACGCAAAGTGCTCTCGGATTGGGCTAAAGCAATGGCTATCACAGGGTAACGAACCTCAGGTTCAGATTCAGGAGAAGGCGGTTTAACAAACTTGTGAACTGGTTCGGACTTCCAAACCTGCAGAAAATGGGGCGGTGGCAATTTGATTGTTATGGAGAAGACCACTTCGATTGAAAAAAAGAAATACTATTTACCTCGTCAACTCCTTCGTTCGTCTTCTCCTCCTCTTGTGTCCCCGCCTTCTTTTTCTCAAATGCTTGTGCCATCTGAAAAGGATAAAAATTAATGTCATTAATAATGCTAAAACGATGTAATTGAAGGAAAGTGAGGAAAGGACCACTACACACACCGATGAAACAAACTTTGGTGTCAGTTTTGCGGGTTTTGGCTCCGACTTTGGCTGAAAGGAAAAAAGCCGATTGGTACACAAAAAGTTAGAAAAAAGTGTGAACCAAATGACGATTTCGAATCCGAAGACACATTAATCGGTAAATTATGGAAAGTCGGTAGTTTTGTTATCCAGAGTTCCGCCTAAACACCATTAACTCCTATCGATCGTGCTACTTGCACTTATTTTTTACACTCTAAAGCCACATTTCTCGATCCTTGAAGGGCGTTTCAAAGTTGAGCAGCACCAGAAGACAAGAGGTTTCGCGGTTTCATTGTACAGTCGCTTCAAGTAACTTCTGAATGCCTTAATAGGCCCATGTGATTAAAAAGTAACCCATCCGAAAGCCTCTTTTCCAGAAGACTAAGTTGGTTCTACTCTTGGCAAAAAGTCATTTAAAACAATGCTTTGCAGACTACGCAGCGGGGTTCGAGTGAATCTGCCAGGAGACAAGACTCACTCTCTAGAGATCCCATCTTTACCATTTAGAAAGGTCGTTTAATCGAAGCATCCAATTGAAGGACAAAGATTAATTCACCGGGTCTAAGGATGTGAATTTGATCTCATTAGATAGGCTCCTGGGAAAAGTTTTTAAGCCATTTTAAAGTCCTTTTACATGAAGTGGTTGGTAATCACAAGGAAAGAAGTAAAAACTTCCTCAAATTAGACAAGCCGCATTTGATAAACCCTTCAGACGAAGGTAAACCACCTCCTCAATGTTCAAGTAACGTCATTTAAAAGTCCCTCCAAACAAAACGATCAACAATCAAAAAGTCAGTGCGTGAGTTACCTCCTCCGCAGACATTGGGTGAGTAAAGATATTCGGCTTGAGACGACCCACTTGTGGACGTGAAGGTCGTTCAACAGGCTTATTCCGGTCCAAAGCCAACTTCTCGAAACGCGCACGCAGTTCGCTGGCACGATTCTGTCCGGTGCCCACTCCAGCCCCTGTAAGAGAAGTGGAAGAACACTGAATGGAGAACAAAGGAGGAACCACAAACTACGGAAAAGTAATGTCTCTTTTACGCTTTCATCTCATGTAACTATCCGGGCTAGAAGCCTCGTTGACGGCTTGGTGACTGGCATCTGCAACACATTTGACCATTCACTAGCCACAACATCTGACTACAAGCGACTAAGCTTCACTGCAAACACACTACTACTGAAAAACACTACTCTGTAAAAACAAACAAGACTTTTCATCCATGCACAGGAGGTCTACTGAGCACTTCCACCACTAAGATTTGCTGTTCATCAACCTCCGGCAACGCCTACCCTCCACTTTCAACATTCGATGCTCGATCCAGTGCAGTCGCGGTAAAAACAGTCGCCCTCGTTGAGGGCTGAACCGTCACGTGTTACCACATCGTCCTCCCCCAAGACAAACAGACTACGCGCCACACGAAAAGCACACAGACTAGCCAAAGCTGCTGCTGCTGCTGCTGCTGCTACAGGTCAACACAGAACATGCCGTGCAATGCATGCATAGACAGTCTACTTGGCTAATAGACCTTACTGCATCGTTTTCAATGGTCCAGTTTTGCTGAGTGATATAGTTGCTTTCACATCATCATCATCATCATCTAGAGATAAAAAATGAACCATTCACAAAATACAGTCACCAATCTCTTGCACCTATCAGTCCAATCTCTAAAGAACACCTATTTCCAGATTATTCAACTTCTGAACTATTCAAAAAACAAATCCCAAGTGAGTAACAACAAAAAAAGCCAATGAGGTGCTATTTCGCTTCCTGAATTGCAACAGACTCATTACTTCAAGAAAGAACACTTTATCCCCATTCTGATTAGGTAAGAAACTGATGGGCATAGCTTAACTAGCCTCTTTCGTGTCTGTAAAACTTGAAAACAGTTCCAGGCAAATCCGGATCTTCCTAACCCGCATTTGAGAGTGCCTCTCCTGCTACTACCATTCAGGCATGACACCTACACACTGACTGTGACGTGTGCATGAAACAACATGCAGTGCTGAATGAAGTCTCTAGTAACCCAAAGAATCCACTTGTACGCACTCAAGATTTCAAAGATGCTACGATAGAGTAATTGCATTGACGCGCAACAGCAAGGTCTCCAAATGGTACCAAAGCTTCGTCCACAATCCCAATCCATTGCCGGGGCAGTATTGTGCGAAAAAACAGTACTGGACGGGTTGGATCGAGAAGGGGTGTCTCGTTTCTTCGGGATAAGGCACCAATTCTTACTGCTCACCACACTGCTAAGAAAAATGGCAACTCGGAGGGGAAACAAGGACGCCGTATTTTCCTTATTTACTAAACTTCGTTCCAGGTAATTTCCAGCGTTTGCGTCTGCTTCAAAAAATCAGCATTTCAGTGCTAATTAAAAGGCGGTTTCGGTATTATTAAATGATATGATGGGTACTCAAATTTGGAAATCCTGACCCAACTTGGATACCACTCGTCGCTTTTGCTTCACCTCAGCCACCCACAATTCTGGCCTTCCAGTTTTGCTGCACCTTAATAAACAAATTCCCTACTTTCTCGCCCTACCACATCCTTAAGGAAGAAATAACCGAGTACGTTGTTGAGATTGGTGTGGAGCAGATGGCTCTGGTGCATCCCCGTAGCCAACTGATGAGGCATCGACACGATCCTTCTGGACACCGTACTTTCCCCCGAATCCCACTGCGTAATCCTTCTGTGAAGAGTGTTTCGATAATTCTTCACGGTGTTCGTAGCCCAAGGCGGCCTGAAACGAGCGGAAAATGTACCAGTTAGTGACATTACCGTCCTGTGATTGATTATCTAGCTGACCAATAATAAATAGATATCAAAAAGCAAAAACTGGCGCTTTCTACATCCCAAATGCCACTCTGAGAATATGATGTCTTCTTTCTCAAGTTGTTTTTGATTCAACGTTACTACTAGAAGTGATTAGAACACAAGTTCGCCTAGTGTGGAACGCTAATAACAGATCCCGCATATCAACGTGCTCGATTACGTCTCCGGAGCCACCTAAAAAAGCAATGTCAGTGGTTTGTTGGTTAGCGAAATTTGGTGAAAGAGCTGAAAGGCATCCGCTGTGAATAAGTGAATTAGCGAAGCTGAAAAGCAATTGCATTTTGATAAATACTCTAAACCAATGGAGCAAGGATGGTTTTCAAATGCTCGCAATACACATTTAATAAATGCCTACTATAGATTCCTCGGCATATACCGCCTTCAGAAGAATGCCCTTCCAAAAGGCGGTTGGTAAAAAGCGCACATCCACCACGGAATGTCGTTCCTCCTTTAGCCCTTGTCCATGCTTGAGAGAATGGGGTATCTAGGAATCCTAACTAGACCCAAAACATGCACTACTACTGCTGATGGGCAGCACTCTTCCTATGATTCTAATCCATGGCATCACCTTCGCCCATGTTTCTCGGCTAACTGAGATTCACGAGAAAAAAGTCGGGAAAGTCAATGCAGAAAAAAGAAAGGAGACATTAAGTAAAACGGTAGTTAACCGAGCGGAATCTTCGCTTACCACCCTGGTTTTGTAACTTTTTGTCCATGCGTAAAGTGACCAAACTTTTACGTACATTATTAATAAACACTGCTTTGAATTTTTGTGCCCTATCAAGCCTTCAGGGAAGCCATAGGGTGATACAGCTACTAACTAGGTAGAAGAAAGTCTTTACGAGAAAAAGGTCACCATTTTATTACACGTGGATTAATGAATGAGATTTGCAATTTTGGAGCAATTAGACCTAGTTCTTGAAAAAAATAAGCTGGTAATCACAAAAATCCTTGCCTGTCACCCGAATGCACGCGAACTAGTGACATTTTACTTACAAATTAATAAGTAAACAGAACTGGAGATTATTTAAAGTTTCAGGTCAGCTAACCTTATCCTGCCTATCCTTTTGAACGCCATAACGGCCACCAAAGCCCTTGGAGTAGTCCTGCTGCGAGGAATGCTTTGCCATCTCCGAACGATAGTCGGTACCAACGGCGCTCTGAAAAGGTAAAGTGGAATCTGAGCTGTCATGCAGCTGGCAAATTACGACGTAACTAAACTGTCCGGATCTTTACAATTGCCATAGCTTAAAACACTTCCGTTATTTCATGGTGCTTCAAAAAGTAGACTTACCTGTTGCAGTAATGCAATATCATTTCCACGAACTAATCAATTGTGGAACTTGCCACAAATCGCGGTGTCACGTCAAGAGTTAAACACACCTCAAAGTGGTGGATTGCATGGTTCATAAATAGCAGTAAAATTGTGAAGAGAACTGCAGATATTGGCGCACTAATAAGATGTCTGAGAGAATAATTGAACACCTTATATTTGTTTTTACATCCGCGACCTGGTGCATAGGCTTGTCGAGCAACAGCTAAATGTCATCTTGTCCTAAACTGGCGATAAAAAAGCATCAACTTGGCCACCAAATGTAGTGGATTTGAGACTGACACCTCTTTTGGGGAGGGAAGTGGTTCTTTTCGCATTGAAAAAGCAGTACTACTGGAAACTCTCCTACCCACGAAGTGCTCTCACATTTAAACCATTCAAGATAATTCAGAATCAGAAATTACTTCTTGAGGTTAAAAAGACCAAACACTATTAATGAGGCTGTATTTTGTGTAAAAATATGACGCCCTCAATTGGAAAGAGAGAATACCCTTGACCTGCCTTCATAATAGACTGGTCGAAAATTCTACAAATGGCTTTTCTTGCTCATTCAGACTTCCACCCTATTTTCACAGTTTTTATAAATAAAAACGTTAAAAAATTACCAAAAAATTCTTTCAAAATGAGGCTTAGCCACTTTGGCAAAACCTATAACTCTTTTCGCCTCCAAATAGGAAAAGAAACTTTCCCCCAATTTCCAACAAAAACTACGAAATTTAGCTCACAATTCCTCGTCGACGGGATGAACACACCAAAAAAAAACAAGCTGCTAAAATCTAAGATGCATTCAGCTCGAAAAAGGACAATTAATTTTAAGCTGCTAAAGACACCAGCTGAAATAGGTATCAGTCATTCTGATTGGTCAAAATGTGGCAGAAATTTTTCACTTTTTTTCGTATTTTGTGACCCTACTCTTAATGTGATGCTATCAACACATCGGCAGTAACCACGGTTGCATGGCTCAGGTGGATCCCTCCTACGCTGTAGGCCGCACACACATCATGCCTAGGGTGATCCAATTACAAAGTGACAATAAGAATGTGCGCAGAGAAGAAGCTTATGGTGCTTGACAAAGTCTCCCGCCGACCAAGGCAACAAACCCGAAGCCGAGTATATATCCACGTATCCACTGAAGACCTTTAGCATACTGTGTTGCAATGGGGATGCTAACGCTCACTATCTCAGCAGCAAGACACTGATAGTATTGACGTTTCAATGACGGTAATCTTCTGCTTATCAATGACGATCCCACTTCATGGCTCCTGGTGTGGGCGGTCATTCCTATGAGTGTTCATCCAGCACGTCAAACGCTCGATCCAAACGCAACCAGCTGTAACGCTACACAAAAGGTGAACCATCCAGCAGGAGCAATAAACATAAGCACAAGGCATTAACTTTTGTGTTTTCGAAGGGCTGGCTAAGAAACGTTGGCCATGAAGACAAAGTCTGGCCCAAAGTGGTCCCTTATTTATCTCGACAAATCGTCAGTATTAATTCAATGCTAAAATGGGGGTAAATAAAAGAAGTTTCTACTATTTAGAATGTGTTATTCTGCCAAAAAATCTCCATTTCCAATATCGGACGTGTAATTAGGAAAACTATTCGTAAGCCACTTATATCTCGTTACGCCTTGTACTAATAAATAACAACCGCTATAATAGCTTCTGTAACGTCGCAAACTAAGTCCATCAGAATGTGCAAAACACCACTTGGGATTCATTCAAATTTCAAGTAAGAGCTATTTACTCTATTTTTGTCTCACAAACCACAGAAGCACATATATGTGACACCATTAGAGCGTGTCTTTAGGTTTCAACAGCCCACACACGTACTGTAAAAACACATCGTGATTCTCACGTGATGGCGAAAGAGAAAGTACTCCACACCAAAGGTAGCGTTCTAGACCTATTCAGTTGGGGTTTGTGACTTAATGGACTCCATTGTCAATCCAAATCAGCAAAATGCACCACTAAAGCTGAGGTCAGGGAAGAATTCACCACTTTACTTGTAACACTGAGAACTGCGTAAACAAAAATTACGAAGTTTGACGCAAGTGATGTGAAGAAAAAGGTACAGCAATGGGACGCCAAAACTAACTGAAAACAACGAAAGTCAAGGCAAGCTTGTTTCAAAATCAAAACACATGCTAAATTCTTAGCATTAAATGGCTACCAAAGGCATAAAACCCTTCCCAAATGATAAATTTACCACATAAGGTAATTAGAGTGGGCGATTTTACGTAAACAGCTGAGGTAAGCTAAGCAATACTGGGTATATCGCAACTCAGCGCTTACAATTAACACTAGTAGCACAAAAACGGATTCACACTTGTAAGTGAAGACAAACCAAACTGATATTTCCTTTGCCATCTGCTTTAGTGGTTGTTTTTACACAATGACAGATGTTAATTTGTGCACATATAAGCACAATTATATAGTTTAAGAAAATTTAAGCACTCACTTTGTCCATCCGATCTTTTTCAACGCCAAATTTTCCACCATAACCATAAGAGGCTTTTGGAAAAGAATTTTTCTTGCTTTCGGCATCCGACTTCAATACACCCTGGATCAACTTATTCACACTAAAATAGTAAAAGCTGGCGGTAAATGCTAGCATCACCGAATTGAGGAGAACTAATATAACCATGGCGGGGGCTATTCAACACATACATAAGTACCTTAGTGGATTGCATACACAAAGGACTCATAAAGTAGTCCTTACAATGTGCATAAACATACTCAACATGACCGACACGACCAGGAACAGCCTGTGAACCAAAGCGTTGTTCCTTCTCGGTCATGACGTTCTTGTAATCAGGAGTGATACCCCAATCCTCGTCGTCAGCCATCTTGTAGGGACGCGAAAAAAAAAACATGTTAACAAAATCCAGTCTAAAGCAGATAAAATTTGCGAGTTTACTAGGTCTAATGTAAGACATTAGTGTTAATGAGACACTATGACAACATAAAAAAGGCATTCGTGATTCGCCGAGTCGACGAACACCGCCGACACCTCTGAGGGCGAAGTAACGCGGATCTGCAGATCTCAAAATCCCGCCACATCCACCAATACGTCAAAATAAAATTAAGTCTTTTAATTTATATTGCGTTTCGCCTTGCAAATTTAGGTCAGCTTTTGCAAGACATGAATATATAAACCTGGCAGGATCTTACGGTCAGGTTGCAGCTATTAAAAGACAATCCCGTAATGCTTGACTCAAATTTGTCCACTTTTAAGCATGCCTTTTGACAAGTTGACTTTCGCACCAGTCTTACTAAAAATCAACAATAATATTTACAGTGTACAATTTTGTAAAATGGAAAACCAATTATTTACGTTGTATCATTTTTTCAACTCGACATATTTCCGGTCGAATTGTAGATTCTCGAGTCTTTTCTGGAGCCGTGATAGACCAAGGCAAATGGACAAGAATGCATATTGCTAACTCACACCTGCCTATTACTATGGAAGTGGAATTTTTGGAGTCCAAAATCGCCTTGTGCTTGAACATACAGTGGTACAGAATATCAATTCAATTTGGGTGCTCCAAGTATGCTTAAAAGCCTACTATCTTGACGACTTTATTTGGGCGAAAATCTCGGTTAATATTTTATATTCACATATAAAATGGTTAAGTCATTCGTGATTTTAATTTTGACTTCAGACCACTTGGATACATCCGCACAAAATATAATTGTCCGCACGCGTTCCTCCATTTTTTAATGCAATATACTAGGAATGCAGTAAAATGTCAACGAAATTTTTGTCGCGATTTTACCAGAGCATGTCGAAAATTAGGCGGAAGGTAGGTGAAGGACCCCCATTGCACCACATGGCCATCAAGAAAGTGCGATTATCATTGAAAGTTACAATATCGGTAGAGTATCATATTCCACCCTCATTGCTGTATTGAATTACATGCATTTTTTTCTTGCCACAACGTTTGTCACAAAAAAAATACCATTCTTTTTGAACAAGCCATGCTACTTAAAATTCACGACTTTCACTTTTAAGTCCTGTGTCGTACTAATTGCGATCTGGTTTTTTTTAGAATCCTATAAAATATTAGATGGAAATTGCATCACTTGTTTACACGCGTATTAACCCGTGTTTTGCTTCACAAATTGTGCTTAATAACCTTAATTGTTCTCATAATCTCACTCAACGAAATGATAATACAAACTAGGTCTCTGGTGATGTGCTCACAATACTACTTAAGGCAGACAGATAGTCAAACGGTTTAAGTGGGCGGCATACAACATGCCTTTTGAGAGTCAAAGGGGAACTCTAGCATTGATAACTAAGTTGAAACATAAAATTAATCTCTGGAAAGCTTAACATTCGGTTGATTTTTTGCCACGTCTGAAACAACCTGACACAGTTGGCCTCACCTCCTCATCGGTGGAGAATCTCCGTATGCTTCTGTTGCTATTATGATTCTTTTGCTGCCTGCTTCTACACCATAGCTATACTTGTCAAAATACTCCCCAGTTCAGCGTAGCATCCATCTACTCCATGTCAATCAAAAGCAGAAGGTTGTCCCAGCATCTGATGTCCCTTAGCTTCTCGGAATTGTAACTTAGCCTGCATTAAGGCCGAGTTCACCCTTTTTTGTGCACTAATTTGTCTCCTGTCCCAACTTTGTTATACCACAAGCTAGACTCTAATCATATATTTAGAATCAAACATTTTGCACTCTGATTGTTCACTGGAATGTTTGCTGTTGCAATTACCTACTCTTGAGATCTGCAGCAAGAATAACTTTCAGCCGGTTCGAGTTTGGCGTCATGACTCTCTGCAAACCCTCGTTTCATCACTGTGTCTAAGACTGGCTCACTCAAGTTGAACTAGTTTCTCGTAACATGAAACGCCCGCCACTACTACTCTGTGTGTAATGGCTTCGCCGCGGTTTGTCTCGGTTTGGCTTGAACGAATCTCGCAGCTCAAGTAAACTATCGAAGAAAAAGGCTTTTTGGGAAATATAGGCGTGAATTTATTTCCTAAAGAGTTAAAAAATTATGAAAACATATTTTTTTTCCTCATTTTGCCACTTTTATCGAGTTAATGCATTTATGGAAGCTTCCTGGTCATCAGTCGTCATCCTGGTGGCCAATATCTCATCTCACGTAGTAAATTAAGCGGCCTTTACAGGGATCATAACAAATTAGTCTTCTTCCAGACTATTTTCTTGCATTTTCTGACTTAAATGACCATCTTAGAAGCTGTTAAGCTTGTAAAAACAATTACGATTACAGATTTAAGAGCCATTGATCCCTGATATGGTGGACAAACCGACGTCATCGATGCTGTGGCCTTAACCATACTGAATGACCACCCAATCCACAAAGAAATGAACATCCCCTCCGCTTTTTTGATTAGAATTTGAGAGGGGCCTAATTAGACTCGATGTTTACTTTGCCTTCATCCACGCACATACACATACACACACACGCACACTTGTTGACCTGTCACCTCGGTAACCACAAGATAATCAGTAACCAATTCGCAATGAGGTAATAACGCAGTCGATTTGTCCAATTGCGTTACGCTCTAGGAATGTGATTTTCCATTACTTTCCTGGGATACTAAAACAACTTTAACGCAAAAAATGCCGTTTGATGAGGAGAAATCAGAGATGAAATGAGCATTTAACTTGGCTCATTGTAAAACACAACCCGTGAGTTGTTTGAAGGGATCACAAATGATCAGATTGAAGATTAGAATAGAATCGGGCTGTTTTGACGCCTTATCAAATGAACACCTCCGTAAAGGCAAGATGGATTGGGATGGTAATCTTCTAAGGAAATATCGAAAAATTTCATTTACAATTTAGGCTCTAAAAATGTCTAGTTCTCAATAAGCAAACATCTTCGCCATTTCCAAATGCTATACTGCTGAGCGGACTTCCAAAATAAAGCGAGATCTGGAAATTCACCGAGTAGACACTGCTGATCAAGGTGGAGGACGATAATAGTAATGCGTACCATCATGGAACAAGGTGACGAAACATGTTTCTCGTGATGCAAAAAGTCAAATTTAAAGCGATAACCTCAAGTACGGCAATGGAATACCTGGCTCTTTAACACTACGAAAAATAAGAGGAGCCTCCGTTTCAGATGTGCCTCAACTTTTGCCTCAGCTGTCAATTGAAAGATCAAACTTTTCAAGCTGAGTTAATCTGTTTACGATTCGTCTTTTTATAGAAAAACTAAGGCAAGTATTTGTGATTGTAAAGCAGGAAAGCCCTCCAGTTGTGGACTAGTTCCGTTCCCATTCCAGATATTTCCTCGCAGAAAGTAAACTTTGAGATGAGTGTATAAACACAGTTGAGGAGACCTGTGCCTCCAATAAAATCCACCTTTCTCTCCTGACCCATATTCCTGCCCTCCAACAGGACTTAACGGAAGTATTTAATTAAATCACTTTATTTATAAAAATACCAGTTTGTTGTTGGAAATGCAATGAGACCTACAGAGAGGGAGTATGGCACAAACGCCGACAATCCCTTGGCGAATTACAATCGGCTAATCCCATTGGATCCAAACCTCAATGTTTACTTAAAGTGCCCTCTATTCGACCAACACTTTTTGAACTCCCACCTTAGCAACCATAGATGGGCTGGTTGCTGATCCAACGGTCAATTAAAAGGTGCGCCCTTGGGATTTAATGAGGCACTGTGCAGTTAAAAACCCAAATTATCCATGTGATAACTTTTGATGGGGAAGAAGGCGGTTATATGGCCCTAATTTGCGACTGGGAAATGCAGCGTATTTAAAATGAGAAAAAAAAAGTGGAGATAAAGATGATTTGAGTAAAAGAGATCATCTACTGAGGAGTGCGAATGGCAAAAAAGTGGAGTTTGTTAGGAAAAGTGGCAACTTTTTACTTATTTAAAGCGAGCTGAGACCACGGGCAGATCAGAAACCCTGCTTATCTAATCAAATCGTAAATTCGCATGACTTGATGTTAATCTAAATGAGTACTCTAGGAGGCACCATGAAGACTACTCTCTTGCCGTGCATTGTCTTTTCGAGCTATCGGCTTCAAGTTGGTGAGGTGCTCTCCATCAATCCACCCGTCAGATTCAATGCTCCACAAAAAAAAACTAACCCCATAACATTTCTTTTCTTATCCGGTAATTCCTAAAAAATGTAAGGAAAAATTTTGACAATTACTTTGATTTTTACTCTCGCGTTTGATTCTAAGCCGGAGGTATTCGTAAAATTCCTCAACTTTGGTTCAAAATAACTTTTTAAAGGAATATTCAAGTTCATAGTACGCACAAACTACCCGAGCGATAATGATATCAAACTAGTTAAAAGTAAAATTTGTAATTAAGATGACAAATAAAAGGCAAACAGGAACCGATAATTTCGTCAGCCCAGAAGTAATTCATTCGTTGACTCAATTGACTCGGCGGAGTAGCAGAGACGCATCAAGTGGCGCATCTTCGAATTTAATAACTTTTTGAGAATGAAACCGGAATTCTTTAACAGATAAAAGTCGCCTCTTATCATTTGATGCACATAAAAGGCAAAAGCTCAAGCCGAGTTAATCAAGAAGTGAGATGAGTGGAGACCGAAGAATGCGGTGGAATTGGTGTGGGTCCGCGCCCGCAATGAGAGACGAGGATCGGTTACAGGCGCAAACAGCTGTTGAACGCCGCTGCGAGGAGTTGCAGAGGTCTGCTCGAAAAAAACAAGTCGATACATGGTAGGAGGTGGGTAATATGACCCTGTGAGGGGGACTGCGGTTTGGATACACTCGCACACGAACAAACGCACAGACACCGACTTGACGACAGGACCGCTTCCACGCCACGTTCGCAGGCGTTTCAGTCATTGTGACATCTCGATACCGGAAGTTCTGTTCTGATCGGCCGATTTGACCCAACCTTTAAGGCCGTGCACCTCAAGAACCCTTCAACCGATGAATTTATCCTCATGAGGCAAAGACCGGACTATCAAACTAATCTTTTTGTTATAAATGAGGTGGGAAATAAAATAACGCTTATTTCTTAGGAGTTGTTATCACTCGAAGGCAAACAGGTTTGGGTGGCTATCATGTGGAATGAGGAGGTTACAAGTTAACCGAAAAGAAATTAATGAGCTCGCCTTTGAGCGGTTTTCATGACGTTAATAAAATTTCAAATTCGGCGGAGATGTACGTAGAGTATGAATTAATAAAATGTTACTTTTTATTGTTGATAGACAGTTGTAAGAAGCAAGTGAGAAGCGAAGCCTTTAACAATAAGTAAATTATCCTAATTCACATAAAACTGTGGCTAAAGCAAGACCGCATTTAACCGATTTTAGCCGTTGATTTTGAACAATTTCTTTTCCTTCCTTACTTAATAAAGCTGAAAGAATGGGATGTTATTTCGCTCGCATGAAATCTACTAATCTACAATGAAGTTTACCGAAAAATTGGCATCTGACTTAACAGTGATGTACAAGATTTCCGCCTGCATAGTAACACTGAGCCAAAAGTGGAGGCCGAATGTGAGTCGCATCTACTTTATTTTAATTCGCCTCAGAGTGAATCCTAATTTCACCGTCCGTTGACGAAAGACTCTCGGCAAAGCCCCAGAATAATTAGGCCGCCTTCGGTGAGCACAGGGTGTTCAGTTCAGTCAGTTATTAAACTGACACGTGCCTCTAACTCAATCTTTCTTCCTCGCTATCATAACACTTGAAAGGCGTAGTAACAACCAGAAACCACGGCGATTTCTTTTTTGTGTTCTGGAAAGGATGAAAGAGGGAGTAGAGAGACAGATGCTACGGCAAATCCATGAATGCCAAACATGTGCTCATTCTGAAAAAGGTGTAACTAACATTTAAATTAGTTTTACCTAATTATGAAAAACGGTGGCATTAGGACAACCCTTTTTTGTTTACACGAAGATTGCTCAAATAAAAATGGGGCTCCTGGGTGTAAAAATTGCACGGATTCGCATTTCTACGCCTTCATGACTTACCACTACTTCATGTACTTGTATCCAGCACTTCGGCCTGAAAAGATTTGCTGGTACTACTGAATTATTGAGTTTCTCGTTCCCACAGAAAGACTCGCCTCTTGTGCCACTGTGAAGTATCCAAAGGCAATTAGCCGTCCAGTCAGTGACCTTAGCGACCTATTACAAATCGGGACACATAAAGTTTTGTAAAAATATTTAAAATGGGATAGTAATTGGTCGCTGACAAGTGTGTTATATCTCATCTTCTGTCTGGCGGGTATGTAGTCTTTTCGGAAAAAAAAACTCCGCAATGAAGAAGACCGTGAAACCCATGAATAAATGGCTTTAAGGAGGACAAAAGTAACCTCCTGTCACGTGAGGAATATTTTTGGTTGAAGATGGGTATGCATGCCAAGGAAGCACCAATTCATCTTTGTGAGGATAAACTATGCTCTCAAGAAGTCGTGTTAAATCTTAAAATGGACACCATGTCTGCGCCCAGCACTTTACTAGATTCCAAACCGTCAGACTGCAAAGATTTTTTGTCAAATCGGTGTGGCGGCAGTTGTTTAAAATGCAAAATGCAAAAGTATGATGGCGGTAAGATTAGCTACGCCCTCATCATAGTCAGTCGCTTCTCTACAGTCTGATAATTGGCTCAGTTCCACCGAAAGGTAGCCAATTTTTCTTGTTTTAGGCTCTTGGCTCATTAATGCCTTGTAGATGGAAATAATGCATTAATTTTAACACAGATTAGACACGACGTATGCCAGAACAGTGTAAAATGCTCTTGCTGCGTGCATTCAGACAACAATGGGATAGATAATAGCAGTCATTTATGGCTGTGGGAATACACTTTTTAAAAATTGTTTGCAACATAAAAATTAGCATTTGCTTGTGCAGTTAAAGGCCCATCCTCTCTTCCTCTGAGTAAATCCAGCACACGTAACAACTGCATACTGATCTACTCTCAGTTTTCTGCTCCAGATATAGTTCAGTAAAATACTTTATTAAAAGATAAACTTACATCCATTCATGACATATCAATATTTTTGGTAATTATCTACCCCACGAACTTGTTTCTTTATTCGAACGAGAAGCCAACAGATTTTTGGTGTAATTGCCTGAATAGGCAAAAATGCGAGTGAAGCGATTCCTACATGTCAATAGATTGAGAAGTAAACACGTACCGTTATTAGTGTGGTTACTTTAAATCCACTTTAGTTGAAACGCCTAACTTTCGTTCAACGTGTGGCAGTATCACACGTGGATTAAAGCAGTATTTACAAACCTTAAGCCTCGAAAGCAGAATTGAATTCGACTTCAGATCCATTGAGTCTCACGGAAAAGCTTTTCCTGTTGTAAATCACAGAATTTTGACACCAGAATGGGTATCCACTATCCTTAAGCGCAATATATAGCATTCAGAAAATAAGAGAAAAAGAACAATAGTGATTGCGTCTTTTCATTTAGTTGATTTAAGAATTGGGCAGCTTTATGATAATGAGAAAAATTATTGGAGATAGGAGGAAGCAATTGTAACTCAAAATTCGTTCGCATATCAGTTGTAAAAGCCAATGGCGTCGAGGCGCGGGCCTAAGTCACCCCGCGGTTGGCTTCTGCGTGCGCGCATCCCTCCACACCCCGGTGTGCGCGTACATGGCTTTTGAGCGAGGCGACCAATTACCGCTTGCGCGTAGGGCTGCTTGTCGAAAAGTGACCAAAAAGGCATACTCGAATAGCCGAAAGTTATACCCTGTGAATCGGCTTGATTTTTGCTTCCAAGCTCTTGGTGTCTATCCTCCTTTCTTACCACATGTTTGCTGACTCCAAAAATCCTGCTGGAAAGCCTTCCACAAGTGACTTTCGGCAGTCCACAAATCCAATGGGTAACAAATATTCTACTCACAGTTAAAAAATTGTTTTGTAGGCTACAAAATTAACTTATTTATTTTGTTAACTTAGCGACAGGACGGATTCTCTATGACATTCCGTGTAAAGTGTGCAAGGATCACTCCTCAGGCAAGCACTATGGAATTTACGCTTGCGACGGGTAGGTTCGGGTGTTTAAACAGCAATAGACAACCGTTTCTATATTTTTTTGAAAATTTATGAGAAAGATAAGTTTTTTGCTTCCTGTCTAAAAGGAAGATATCATCGTGGTTACTAAATGGAATTGTAAATTTGATAGAGGATTTTGAACCAATTAGGTGTCAGCATTGCCTCTAAGTAGTTTTATAGGTGTGAGCTCTCCCAACAAATTTACCAGACTTTTTAATTAAAAACCAAACAAGCAATTTATTTCATGCATTCTCATTGACAGTATTTACTTCCTTTTCACCTTAGCTGTGCGGGATTTTTCAAGGTAAGATGATACTCCACTTTTCTTAGCCACATTAACTTCGTCCTACCCTTGAAGCGGTCCATTCGGCGCAACAGGCAGTACACATGCAAATCACGAAACGGTCAGGAATCATGTTGCCGTGTGGATAAACCGCATCGAAATCAGTGTAGAGCCTGTCGACTGAAAAAATGCCTCGAAGCTGGCATGAATAGAGACTGTAAGTTGAGCCTATTTAAGTATTTAAGTATTTAAATATCGTGCCTCTTATATTTGCGAGCTAGGTAAACCCAAAGTAGAATTGACGCTTTTCTCATAAAATTGCACAGTTTTGTGAGTTAGTGACAGATGATCGGTAAATTTAAAATTTCTAACACATTTAGCCTTTTAAAAATGTAAGTCAGGAGTATTTTTTGGAAGATTGTAAAATTAAATCGAGCATATTTTAACGTCTCACGGCACAAATTAAGTCATTTTTGAGCAGAAGGGAGTAAATTTAGTAAACCTTGATCTTCAATAGTTGATCAGCTCTCCAGGCCAGGAAGTCTTCTTGAATTAGACCCGACTGTCATTCCTTTTCCTGAATTAGTTGATAAGGAGTATTTAAGCATGTTGGTATCATCCTAGTGTGTCAGGACGTATCCTCTGGAAACCCGTTTCTGAGAAATGCATCCAGTAGAAAAGGCAGTTCATACTTAAAAACATTGCTTTTCTGATTTTATAAAAAAAAAAGATTGAAAAATTTGTGATTACCTAAAAAGTCCCTTAAATCCTTTGCCATCCCTGTAAGTGGCTACAAAGTGAGGATTTTCGCAAAATTTTAATGCGAGTATTTAATAGAAGGGGAAAGACAGTAGTCAAACAAAATGCTACAACCATGACAACAAAGGTGGTGAATTTTAATGCGAAACCTCTTAAACCCTCAGCATAACTGGCGTATGTATAAGCTCTGGCAGGCAAGGTGTCTAGGGCTAAAGTGTCGATTACTAAAGATAATGCTTCCTCATAACTTATAAAATATATTTACAAGGATAAAGTTTTCAAAAAAAATTTTTCAGAACTAGAAGACAAATATGTCGGATAAATGACAAATAACGTTGATCAGAACTTAAAGATCTATTTTGCCACTTTGGCCCAATCCCTTTTTCTGCTTCTAATACAGATTTTACTCCCTGTCCTATAAAACTTTTTTTGTATGAACAGGTCCTTGCATATTAATTTAGGTTTCATAATTGGATATCACTTTATCCTCCCTTTTTATGGCAAACAGAACCCATTGCAAAGAGGTCACTTATAGTCAATTACCTCTCTTGCATCTCACACAAAGCGATGATTCAAATGGGCGCCAGTCTGGAACAGGTGTGAAGTTGAGTTTTCAGACAGCACACTAATTGTGCCGGGACCACACCCGCATCTAGAAAACCTGTTTTTTGTGCTTTATTTTTTTTTCCAAAAAAAAAAGAAGTCAGAAAGAAGGCAAACTGATTTTCTCTTCCTGAATAACATCAAGAAAGTTGGTAGTGCAATCAGAAGATTTTTTCTTCCGAAGTAGGAATTAGTGAAAAGGCCTTGAAATGCTATAACAATTTAAATAGCGGCAAGGATACGTTTTTGTGGCCATAGGTGAATATGAGCGCTTGCATTGTTGGTAGCAGCGTTGAAATTGCGTCAGAATGATAGTTCTCACCGGTTAGAGGTTAAAAATGGGGCACTAAGCGTGAGAGAAAGTGGAGACTCCCCACTGGGCAATTAAAATGGAGCATTAGAAGTGCGCAGGTTAAAGCTCGAATGAATAGTGCCGTTGCTGCTCTTGTTGAGATTGTTGTTACTACGGTATGATTGACTGGAGTGTATTGGTCATCAAGTCAGTTTTGGATACGGATAGGTTTGCGTCGTGAGATTTTCACATCGTATGGCCGAGTGTGTGCAGTGCTGAAATAACTAATATTAACAATAATAACTACGGAGCTTCAATACCATCAACATGAGAGAAATGACTTCATCCTCAGATCTTCTTATTCGCTCAAACTGTTTGCTGACTTGTTTCTCTATTCCATTGCTGATGTTCCTAGCCTCCGGCAAACTAAATCGACTCTAACACATGCGCGCAGATTTCACGACTAAGGCAAAGAAAAAGAGGGTCCGCAATAAACTTCTGTTGTCACGGTAGTAAGAAATCAATTTAATATGATTAATTTAGTATGATTGTTCGTGAATTTTTTGACAAGGAAAGTGACTGTTACTTACGCAATGGCCATCATCACTGAAGTGACTCCTTCTCTGGTCGACGCCCGTGAAAAGTAAATAGAAGGCTAAAATTAAAAAAAAATGTTTTTTTCTACTGTAAGAATAGTTCCTGATTTATCACCCACTGAAAATTTCATGAATGAATTTCAATTCAAGACGACTAATTTGTCGGCAAATACTTAAAGGACTTACCCAGTTGGTGAGTTAACAAGACTTGTGAGTTGTTGGGTTGAGAGAGAGGGGAGGAAGGAGGAGGGCACGTTGACTGAAATAGCCTTCGTGTAACCACCTTCGCTTAAGAGCTCTTGACCCACCATGAGAGCGAAATCAGCTCCACTTAATGCTAATGAACTCCACTTCTGCCTAGATAACCAAAATATGTGCTGCATCCCGGTAGCCGGAGAAATATTTACATTTAACACAACCTCTTAACCTATTTAAAGCAATAAATAACGCCAAAATTTTGTTGACATTTTGACATGACAACTAAGAGAGGAATAAGCAATAAAATGGCGTCAAAGTTCCATAAAAAGATTCCCCACTTTAGTGGGCAATTAACAAGCAAAAAGGTCATGTCAGGCTAGGTCAAAAATGACAGTTTCACGAGTGATGTGAAAATGAAGTAAATAAGAAATGATATTATTCTTTTAGCTGTCCAGCACGAACGTGGTCCGAGAAATTCAACTCTCCGAAGACAGATAGCGTTGATGCTTCAAGAACAAGTGCCTTCAAAGCCACGTCAAGAAATGCCTCCAAACGCATCCAGCTTCTTTGTTTCCCATTCAGATACTAGGATCTTTGAATCTCAAGCTTATCAACCTCCACTACCTCCGCAGTCGCCATTGTCATCATACATTCCATTCCATTTTCCTGGTTGGTGCTTTTCTAAACACTTCTGCAACTATCCTGGAAGTCAACAATTTTTTACTCCGTTATCTAACTCCTGGGAGGTTTTCGCAAAAAGTGGTTTACCCCTCCCTCCTTCTAGTTCCTTTGTACAATTTCAAGCACCACCACTTCTACCTTCAACATCAGCTTGTTCCAAACTCCCAGATGAAGAGGCTTTTATGTCCAATCTGTTACCACCACTACCGCTGCCACCGCCACCACAGCCTCAAGTTCTGTCAAAAGCTGAGGCGTTTGGGATCGACAACCTTCTAAACGATTCGCCAATAGGTGAGTTGGGAAAGAGTAGGGAAAGGAGGCACTTTATTTATAACCTTTTACCTACCTGACCAAAGCGATGCTGTGTTAGAAATTCCGGTTAGAGGCATTTGGATGCATGATGCGTGATTGACAAACGGGTTGTCTGATTTTTCGACAGGTGAGAAATAATCGCTCGCACAGTTGGGAGTCTCATGCGTGTAGATGCGTAGAGGCAGTGGGAAGATATTCAACCTCTCCAGAAAATGCATTCCATCTCCCCTGACCAGGAGCTTCTGGCTTTTTCCCTGACTTTTATTAGGTAGCCAGCCATTGCAAAGTGCAGTACATTTCGTTTGGTTTGTTGATGAATGAAGTGGGCAAAAAGAAAATTTATAAGAAAATATTTTGTGGGAATACGTTATTCTAGAAGACGCTAAGAGATAGGTAAAATGGGTCCATCAATCTATTCACTAATGCTGGATCATTTAAAATATACAGGCGAAACAATTTTGTGCTATTAAAAGATAAATATCTCCAGTTTTTTACTTTCCTCCGTAGACTGCAACTTAGTAAAGATTTTTATTAAGGGAGTTAAGAAGATTACGATTATGGATATTTTCGTAGACCTTCAGACGAAATAATAAGGACTGGAGGTCACAGCAGAAGTGCATAGGTTGTGTTAATAAGTTGTAGGTCGACTAATTCGGGAAGCAGCTTTGTTAAGAAAGCGATAAGGGGCCGAGAGAGAGACGGGTAGGATAGGGCACACATATTCTGACGCAACAAGAAATAAGATCCAATCGAAATGCGTTGATTTCAACCTCTACTATGCAAGCAAGGCTTATGATTGGTTGACTAATGTGCTTTAACACACAAAAACTGGCAATAGTTTCAAGACCTGTCAATTATGCCATATTTACTGTATTGACGCCATTTCGGGACGTTAAAGTGAGCCATTGGAGGCAAGAAAATCAACAACTTAGCATCCGACCCTTCAGTCCGTACATGGATCCAGTAAATCAAAGTATTGTAAATGGTCTTTGTACAGGAAGGCTTTAGTATTAAAAATATTGATAGAGAGATTTAAAAAGGGTATTTGTCGTTCTGTACCCAGTGGAGCACTTAAATGACTTTTGTTTCTTTCTATTCACTACCGATTAGATCTGCTTCATTGCTATCTGATTAAATCAGTGAAGAATTATGGTCCTAGAATCCGCAATTGCATTATCTCCTTTCTCCATCGTCCTCCGCCACTGCTCTCACTTCTAAGCCTATAGCATCTAGTTAGTCGCCTTGTTCTGAAGTAAATTCTCCCAGTCATCCCACCTTTAAACTTAATTGCTGAACAGCCTCATTTCATGCGAGACATTCGTAAAACAGAACCGCTGCCCACTTTTATGTACCCTAGAGTCCACGCAGAAGATGCGCGACGGTTTTACTTCTTAGCACCCATTTATTTTAAATTTTGTTTTTTTTTGCGTCCTCTAAAGCCAAACCTCTGCTTCGATTCGCCATCCACTAGGTGACAGAAAAGGCTGCAGTGACATGGTTTGTCACCTCCCCAATAGGCGAGGCCTATCCAGAGGGGGATTCCTCCATAATGCAGTGGTGAAGGCTAGATGATATTTTACAATAAGAATGTTGTCTAAGTCAATCGCCTTCGGTAGCAACATTTGCCAGAAAGAACCATGAAGACTCAAAGTATAATGCTCTTCCACTTTAATTTTAATACAATATTTTACCATGTTAACCTTACTTTTTAAAAGGATGATATTATTATAGAAGAGTTGTTTCACTGACATCCGCTACAGTTATAACAACAGCAAGTAATGATGCCGATAAAAGTGTATTCTGTTCAAATCAGTACCTACAAATGTATATGAGATAGGTAAGCACACATTGCAGGCTGTATTTACTTCCTCACTCCGTTTCCAAGCTTACTTGAATATCCAGTTAACAGTTAATAAGTAACTTCTCTGCAGATGTGTGGATATAGCTAACCACTCCTGGATAGCTTGCCTGACTGACCTCTGGCTGCTCAACACCAACTGGCCCTTCGAAATGCCAAGTATTCGCACTCTTCACCGGCTTCCAAATTTGTTCACCGCTTCCATTGTACATTTTCTCACCAACGCCATTTCGTCGCACCTAAAGTTATGCCCCAAAGCATGCGTCCAGAGTCGAACAGTTCATGTGTTGAATATTCATTCACAAGTATGATGGCTTTATGATGACCTAGGAGCTAATGCAGCTAAGATCCTTGCTGACGTATAGACGTAACACCCTTTTGGAAACACTAGCACCACTCAGACGTTTCACCGTTCATTGGCTGATGGACTGAGCGGCTGAGCATCCCATCATACTGCAGTACAAAACGTGTTTGAAGACTTCCGTAGGCGCCGATAAATATGGGGGCGGGTTTGACACCTCGGTTCACAAGACTCTCTGTTTATCACCGCATGCTTTTGCATGCACACACTTACAACCACAAATTGATGTCATTTTGATTAATAAGCACGTAGATTGATACGCAACATGAGTCGACTGCTGGTGAAAGAAAATCTTCTCCTGCCTGCATAACAAAAACACGCATGAGGGAGAAGGCATTTATGCCATCTACTCTAGAGGACTATTAGCACAGACCTAAAAAGTTATTTTTCTTCTTTTCCTCTTTAAAATCTATGATTTATCTGTATGAATCTTAGTACGAACGCAGATCGAGGAGCAGGGCGATGAGGACGAGAGGACTTTGGTGCGAGGTGATTCAGAACCAAGAATCCCACCTCAAACTTCTATCATCTCGGAAGAACTCGCCGTTTGTGTGAAAGGCATTCTACTCTCCATAATGACGTGGATCAGTACCTTTCGACCGGATCGACAGCTGCTGCGAACATTCCTTCAGCCCACTACCTATTCCTCAACTTTTCAACTGACTCCTCGTGAGATCGCCCGTCTCATGAGCACCTCGTGGCCAAGAGTCTTCATCCTCGAGGCTATAGAGGTCTTTCTGAAGGGTCAAGATAGTAAAAAACTCATTAGTTTCTTGGCCAAATTATGCAGCAATGGAGATGTCACCGGTTTTGGTGAGTACAATAAATTAGCTCATTTAGTTTTCTCCTTTATTTTGATGCTTGCAGGTGTATCTGTTTTGCGTAGTGGAAATACCGCCTTCGCAATTAATTTTAACCAAATGTGTTGCGAGCACATAAATCAAAATTAGGATTTCAAGGTAAACTATGAAAAAATAACAAATGTTCGAAAAGTGGTACTATATTTTAGCTTGCAAAGTTTTCGACTTTTTGCATTGTTTAACAAAGCTCTGGAAGGCAGCTTTAGCACCGAAAGATTATCCGTTATGCCCAAACCATTCTGGGATGGCTTGTTCAACATCGATATGAAGTGACCCTCCAAAATTCCACATATTCGAGGACTGGAATATGCGTCAAGAGTCTGACATTCCGTATCATGAATATTTATTCCCAGAAATGACTGCTGTGTGATGAGAGGAGTACCACCACGGTTGGGATCATCACAGACGTACAGCTGCAGCACCATCCTGAAAATACCATTGCCATTCCATTGCCTTACTGTTCATTGCTTGATAAGGAGGGTATTTAGGCGAATTGTATTAAGTAATTTCCGTACGCATCGATAGATTTGAGTGGTTTGACAACTTGGTTCACAGGAATTCTTGTTAATCACCACATGCTTTGCATGCATACACACGCAACTGCAGATGCCTCACACCTCAACGGAAGGACCGGGTCAAATAAACACACCAGTCACTCTTGACAGCATAAGATCTTTTCGCTTGCAAATGAGGGTGTAAAATTAACACAAAAGCAGCTCTTTTGGGTGTGCAATAATGTCAGTCCCGCTCTGACTTGAACGCCTGGTTTGTTGCAGTCACATTTTGGATGGAAACTTTCGGCCGTAATTTCGGAGAAAAATGGACCTTAAGAATAGACAATCTGACTACCAGGGTGTCAATTAAAATGAGATTTGTGTTGTCAATGCTCTGTGGCACTTCAAATGAGGAGGAAAACGTCTCGTTGCAAAATATTTTGTTGAGTTTGATTTGCAAACCTTTGGACAAATCTATCAGGATGCTTGCCAGTCGGATCAGATTTTAAAAAAGCATATTGAATTGTTTAGCTAATGTTTGCTCACGTAAATCAAGCCTATCTTTAAAGGAGGTTTCAATAAGCTCCTAGTACTACGGACATAACTATTACTTACCTCCTCAACAAGGCTAAAAAGATGGCTATTCAGAAAAGGTCAAATCACAAGAGCCAGCCATCGGAATGTTTAGCGATCCAACATCAGGAATGATTTTGAGCCATAAATTTCTTAAAAAAATTCCGAACTCATGGATTGACAGCTGCAATCGAATTCAGGAAAAGGGAGGTACAGCACTTTTTCTTGTTGAATTGTCAATGCTTTCGTTAACAATGCTGATAGCTTACTAGCCATCTAATAATATCAATGCAATGCCTATTCCTACTTTTTTTTTGATTTGGAGTTTGTGCCTACGTGGAAAGCGTTGTGAAGATGAAATAAACCTTCTACAAGCCAGGGCGTCAAACTAGACTTCACTTGAATCAAACTGTACATGTAGAAGTCATCAAGCACAAGTTGTACCGTAATGGGATGGGATGCGCAGTGGGTCACGTTGGCCAGATGGTCCTACCTGCAAATGCCTATTCTACACACTGAATGCCTGCCACTGATACATAACCTTCAGAGTGACAAAATGGCATGAGGGAGGATTTGTTCTGTGAAGGGGTGAACACAACCCACTTAGCGAAAACACTATCTGTAGCCACTTT